AGAGAGAGAGAGAGAGAGAGAGAGAGAGAGAGAGACCCCTCAGGTCCTCTGCTAGAGCAGCCAGTGCTGTTAACTGCTGAGCCATCTCTCCAGCCCCACCTTGTTTTTCTAAGGCAGGGTCTCTTACTGACTTGGAACTTACCAGGTAGGCTAGGTTGCCTGGCTGGCCTCCCCAGGGCTGAAATTACAGGCATGTGCCACCACACCTGTCTCTTGTTTAGTATAAAAATATATTTTAAGGTAGAGTGTTATAAAGCAGTTTTAGAAGTTCAAAGTTCGTTACCTCTCATGTTTTGCCACCTATTTGGCAACAGCGACAAAAACTTCTTATTATGACTCTTACATCAATGATGTAAAGTTTGACACTAACAGTTTTCCTTGTAAGGAGTTCCTGACTCAGCCTAGCACTCTGAATTATAACGTGGGCAGTCTTTCCCTGAACATTAAGTATTTCTTTCAGCCAAAAATATCTGTTCCCAGATCTTTATGGACTATTCTGACATGTGAATGCCCCCCCAACCCCCGTCTGTGGTCTGTGTGGGCTGGTTGCTCTGAGGATATATTAATAGATGAAGGAAAATTTTGCAAATGTTTATACAGTTTTGGGGGATGAGATGACTGGATTGGTATATTTTTATTTTTTCTATAGCAAATCCTTTACAGTTTTCTTTGATGATGTCAATAAGATTTTTCCCCTCAATAACAAATATTCATTGTGTGCTACTTACCTCCACTGGGTGTTATACTTTTTATTTCTACATTGTAATTGGTGAAAATGCTTTGTTGTTTTAACATACATTTCCCTGATATTAATAAAGTTAATGTGTTTTTCATGTTTCTCACATATTTTCATATTTCAATTTCAACAAAATTGTCTTGGCAAAAACTATACTTTGTGTCTTTCTCTATCCCTCTCTGGAAACATCATTAGTTCAGACATTAAAAATAGGCTTCTGGGGCTAGGGAGATGGTTCAGTGGTTAAAGCACTTGCTGCACAAGCATAAGGACCAGAATTTGGATCCTCAGAACCCACATAAATGCACAGCAGGCCTGGGGGACCTGTTTGTAATCCCAGCAGTCAGAGACAGAGGACTCCAGAAGCAAGCTGGCTAGCCAGACTGGCTATATCCACGAGTTCTGGATTCAGTTGAGAGACCCCACCTTAAATACGGTGGAGAGCGATGGCCAGGCATCCACCTGCAGGCACACACATATCCATCATATGTATAAGAGCATGCATGTATACACTACACATACACATGAGAAAAAAATAGATTGCCACTGTTCAAGCTTAATATTTTTAGGTGTTGGAAGCATTTAAAAATTTGGGCATAACTCCTTATAAGCTTGTGGAAATGTGGTGATATAATTGACATAGGCAGTGCATGTTTATGTTCTCTCCTAAAAATTCCCTATCTGGATTTACTTTTGCTGTCATCTTTGGTGTGTGTGTGTGTGTGTGTGTGTGTGTGTGTGTGTGTGTGTGTGTGTGTGTGTGTGTGTATTTCTGTCTGTCTGTCTCTGTGTATGTACTAATGACTCAATATTCCTTGTTGGTATCATCTCACATACCTATAGTGCATTTTAAAATCTGTTTTTAGTTTCTTTTTGTTTCACTACATAAAAAAGCTACCATCACAGTAATTCCTTTCTGTTATATTTGACTGGGCTTTTCTCCTTTCCTAAATAAGCAGATGTCAGTGGCCAATAAACCTGGCATAATACTCATCTCAAATTACAAGTTTATTTCTCAAAATTCTGCCAGAGCCAGGTTCACTTGAAGGGCTAAGACTGGAGGATTGCTGCAAGTTCAAGGCCAGCCTGGGCTAAAGAGTGAGACCCTGTCTATAAAATAAATTTAATTTTACCAGGCAACACAGTTGAAAATTACTCATTTGTAAGATTTTTTTCTGTTTTTGTTTATAATGTTCCATGTCATCCTACCCCAATAAACTCATTTATAAACCTGTATGTGTATTTCAATACATCTGACCACAAATATTTTTAGAGATCAGTATTGAAGTGAAAGGAAAAAGAGTTCTCCTTTGGCTGGGGAGGCGGGGGCAGGGATAGGGCGTGGGACTAGAGAGGTGGCTCAGCAATTAAGAGTACTTGCTGCTCTTGCAGAGGATCTGGGCTCAGTTCTCAGCACCCACATGGCAGCTAACAACCATTTGTAACTCCAGTTCTAGGAAATCCAACACCTTCTTCTGCCCTCTGCAGGCATTGCACTCATGGTGCACTTTCATACATGCAGGCAAAACATAACACCAGGGTGGAGAGATGTCTCAGTGGTTAAGAGCACTGGCTGCTCTTGCAGAGGACCTGGGTTCAATTCCCAGCATCCACATGGTGTCTAACAACCATCCGTAACTCCAGTTCCAGGGGATTCAACACCTTCTTCTGACCTGTGTGGGCATTACACAACACAGGTTCACTTACATACATGCAGGCAACACTCATACACATAAAATAATTAAAAATATTTTTTAGGGGCTGGAGAAATGGCTTAGCGGTTAAGAACACTGGTCGTTCTTGCAGAAGACCTGGGTTCAAATCCCAGCACTCACATGGCAGCTAACAACTGTTCATAACTCCAGTTCCAAGGGATCCGACAGCCTCTTCTGACCTCCATGGGCATTGCATGACATGGGTGCACCTACCTACATGCAAGCAATACAGCCATACACGTCAAATAAAAATGATAAATTAAAATTTTTTTATTAGAAGAAGCATTTCATTACAGCTTAACATACTCAATAACAATTTCCAGAGCAAAGACACACCTCTTTCAAAAGTGGCTATAAAATTTTTAGGTCCACAGTTATACAATATTGAACTCAGCATAAATCCTGTGAGACATAAAATTGAATGAGTTTTTAACCTTTATTTATTTTTATTTTTTTGTCTTTTTGAAGCAGGGTCTCCCTGTAGCCCCAGCTGTTCTGGAATTCACTATATAGACCAGGCTGGCCTTGAACTCACAGAGATACGCTTGCCTCTGCCTCCCAAGTGCTGGGACTACAGTCGTGCGCCACCATGCCTGGCCAAGACTATCTTTAAAAATCCCAGCCCTTGGGAGGCAGAGGCAGGTGGATCTCTGTGCTATTGAGCCCAGCCTGGTTCACATTGTGACTTCCAGGTGGGCTGTGACTAGAGAGACCCTGTTAAAAAACAACCAACAAAAAGACAATTTAAAAAAAAAAAAAACACTCATACACATAAAGATAAATTTAAAAATTGTAAGGGTTTTGAACATCTAACTATCCAAATGAGAACACCATTACCTTTTGATGCAAAATCTCACTCATGTTAGATTTGGATTTGGCAAAGATTCTTCCAGCAAGGGCAATGCACCCTCTAGTCCTGAGAATAAACAAGGAAAAAATAATGGGTAAATTACTTTGTTCATTCTTAACAGTGAGGAAAGGTTAATGAGAAGAGAAGGGTTTTGAACATCTAACTATCCAAATGAGAACACCATTACCTTTTGATGCAAAATCTCACTCATGTTAGATTTGGATTTGGCAAAGATTCTTCCAGCAAGGGCAATGCACCCTCTAGTCCTGAGAATAAACAAGGAAAAAATAATGGGTAAATTACTTTGTTCATTCTTAACAGTGAGGAAAGGTTAATGAGAAGAGAGAATTTGAAACTGTAGGTATCAATTTTGTCTGAAGCCCTAATCACAGATAATCAAGGGATGACTCTTTGCATTTATACTCCTAAATAAATTTAAATAAAACTTAATGTTATGGAGC